CCCCTCCCCCCAACTTGTGCTCGTGCGCGCACTCTCTCTCTTTCTCAGATAAATAAATAAAATGTTAAAAAACAAAAAAAAAGATTTCCTTTTAGCCTAAATTTCCATTTATGTGATTCAAAAAGGTAGCCTGAAAACTCCTCCTCCCATCCCGGTGCCCTGGTCCCCAGTTCTCGGCCACACACACGGGTCACCACTGTTACTAGATCCTTCTGTATCCTTCCAGAGTTTTCTCGGGCACTCCTGCAGGGGCCAACAAACTTCGAGGCACAGGCCAGATCTCGCCTATTGCCTACTTTTGTAAACCAAGTTTACTGACAGTCACATTCATTCCTGTCAGCTCTCTGGCTGCTTTCAGGCAGAGCTAAGTGTGTGACAGAAATTCTATGACCTTCAATATTTCCTATCTGGGGGCACCTGGGTGGCTCAGTCCTTAAGCGTCTGCCTTCGGCTCAGGTCATGATCCCAGGGTCCTGGGATCGAGCCCCACATTGGGCTCCCTGCTCCGCGGGAAGCCTGCTTCTCCCTCTCCCACTTCCCCTGCTTGTGTTCCCTCTCTCGCTGTGTCTCTCTCTGTCAAATAAAAAATAAATAAATAAAAAATATTTCCGATCTGGCCCTTTAAGAAAACATTTGCTGAGCTACGGACTAAAGGAAGCAGTCAAGCCCACCTCTCTGCAATTTGCTTTTCCCACTTAGCCCTATATCCCACAGACCTTGCCATAGCAGAACATAAAGACCGTGTCCACCCCTTTTCACAGCTGTGTAGTATTCTACCGTGTGGCTGTGCTTTATGCTTCGAGGCTTCCCCCATGGTGAGATATTTAGTGCTGTGATTTGATACACTCGCCACTTCCCACGTGGGTGGGATGTTTGGAGGATACATTTCTGGCCATGTTTTTGCCCGATCTGGGTTCCCAGGGCAGCGGGGAGGCGGGCAGTATCTGTCACTGAGTTCTCTGAAATTAAATGCAGAAGGTGGCACACCTGTGGCTCTTTTCCTGAGTGGAGCCTCAAAGGGCAGAGGGTTGATGACTGCGGTTGGACCCGGGACCCAAGGGTGGGGGTAGGGGGATTGGGGTTTAGTTCTGGGAGGTCCAGGGCTCGGGGCCCAGGCTGGGCACTAACCAAGGTCATCGGCGAGCTTCCGGCCATCCTCAGTAGGCACGACCCGCTCATCTTCCAGGTCACACTTGTTCCCCACAAGGATCACCTGAGCATTGTCCCAGGAGTAGGTCTTGATCTGTGTGGCCCTGTGGAGTTTGAGGGCCATGAGGCTAGAAATGGAGAGTCAGGGGGAGAGGGCGATGGTCAGGGTGTCACTGGTCCACGAGCACTCACCAGTCCTGCACGGCGGCGAAGGACTCCTGGTTGGCAACGTCATACATGAGCAGGAAGCCCATGGCTCCGCGGTAGTAGGCCGTGGTGATCGTGCGGTAGCGCTCCTGGCCCGCCGTGTCCTAGGCACACCGCAGGGTCAGACCACCAGAAGCTACCCTGTTCCCCACCCAACCCCCGCAGGGCCCTAAGCGGGCCACCCCCCTGTGCTCACAGCCCCAGTCTGACGGGAGGCATGGCCCTGCCTCTGAGGAGTTCCCAGTCTCAGGGGTCAGTGGCCTCTCACAGACTTGTACCTCATCTCCAAGAACAGACTTAGTGACCCCATGCAAGAGCCACCTGGGCCAGAGAGTACCATCTCGGGGCGGACACCCTGGTGTGCAATACCATGATAATCGCTATCGGCGGCCATGTTGGGAGTGAGAGCCTCTGAGGAGCCCACAGGCTCTGTGGGGGATCCTGGGATGGTACCCAAACCTCTTCCCCACTGGTCACCAGGACTTCTAACCCGCCTCGGGTTAGCACTCTCTGCCCCTCAGACCCTATAGGGCAGGGCATATCCTCATCCTGATGAATTCACCTCATAGATAACTCCCCCCACCCCCTCTGCCACCTTTCACATCTACCCCAAGCCTCCTCCCTCACTTTGGCCCACTCTCGCTCACCCGGGGCCCCTCTGTACAGCCCTCCACCCTATCATGGACTTCCTTGGAGGAACCCCAGCCCCCTCCTGGGCCAGCACGCAGAGCCCTGTCCCTTGCCCCAGATCCACAGTCGCCGCCTGGCCCACCCAGATCTGCAGCTTGATCCTCTTGTCATGGCGATAGACCGTCTTGACCTTGAAGTCGATGCCCACGGTGCTGACGAAGGCAGGCGTGAAGGAGTCGTCCGCATAGCGGAACAGGAAGGACGTCTTGCCCACACTGCTGTTGCCAATGAGCAGCAGTTTGAACATGTAGTCGAAGTTCTGGTCGGCTGCATCCCGCGGGCCTGTTGGGGGGTCTCCGGCTGATGCCATCTTGGCACAGAGCCTCTGGGGGACGGGGGGGGGGGGGCAGCTGGAGCCCTGCAGAAAAATAAAACACCAGGAATGGCTCCAGTGCACACACCAGACCCAGATTCAAATCCTGACTCTGCCACTTGGAGGCCCAGTGACCTCAGAGGCATCACTTGCTCTCTCTGGCCTTCAGGGTCCTCCTCTGGAAAATGGGGAGGCTTATTCAATGCCAGGGCTCAAGTTGTGGGGGGCATATGGAGTGCCTCCTCTGGCCACTGAGGAGCCAGACCCTGCAAAACGTACAGGTGTGGACTTTGCCCCAGAGTGAGCGGCTGGCTTGGCCCAGGTGTGGGCCGAGGGGAGGGGGGCCTGCCAGCTGGATAGAGGCCCCCCTCAGGGCCTGGGTGTTGACTTTGGCAGGGACACCTGCCCTGACACCCCCCCGCCCCCGCCAACGCTGAGTTTAACTCCATCCCTGGCCTCCACGGGGAAGGGAGTTTTAGTGGATACGGCCCAGGTTTAAAGCCCAGCTCTAGCCCCAAATGGGTCCTGCCACCTTCTGTTTGTCAAAGGGGTGGGCCCCGTCTCCTTCGGGTTAGGGCTGACTCACCCCAGCCCCAGCCCAGAGGCTGCAGTGACAGTCCTCAACTCTAAGGAAGCCACATAATAAGAACCCCACCACCACCACTCCTCTCTACCCCGATCCTTCCTTTCTTGGCAATCTGTCCCCACAGCTGGGTTGCTTCATCTGGGCCCCGACACCCCCCTTAGGCTTCACGGCCTCCCGAGGCCTCAGTTTCCTCAGCTGCCTATGGCTACTCCTTGAGCTGCGCAGGGGGGCTCCAGGAGGCCTGGGTGAATGGAAGGCACGCAGGCAGAGGAACCCTTAGCAAAGCTATTTCTCAACCGCCTGTGGGGCTTTTTTCCATTTTAAAAGAGGACCGAACCTGCCCGCTTTCCTGCCCAGCCCTCGGCCCCACCCGGTGTTCCGGGAGAACGAGTTCGAGGAGGGGAAGACGAGAGGCAGGAAACCTTTCCCCATGCTGGGCAGGGCTGCCAGGCTGGAGCCCTTACCCCACCCGCAGCCCCAGCCCACCTGTCAGCCGGTCCCACCTCTTCCTGACCCTCAGCACCCCCTCCCTCATGCCTGGCACTAGATCAGGGTCCCCGGAGGGCTCGGCCCTGTTCCCCTGATGGATTTTGGGCGCCCCCGCCGGTGCAGGGGGGCTCAGGAGCTTCCTCCCATCACCATATGGTCCCATCTCCTGTTCCCAGCTGGGCTCTCTGCCCCGCCCGCGCCCCATTAACGCCGCTCGAGGAGCCCAGCTGGGTGGGGGCGAGGGAAGAGGCGTTTCCCCCACCGCCTGCCTTTGTTCCCCGGGCCCCGGGCCCTCCCTCTAGCCCCCGGCCCCCCAAACCTGCTGGGACGCGGAGGTGCGGGGCGGGGTGCGCTCCCTCGGAAGGGGTCACCTCGCGTCGGGGGGGGCGCTGCCCACGGGCGTTCCTCCTCCGAACTCGCTGCGGCCTGGCCTCAGCCGCGACGCCGACCCCGCAGCCGCCGCCGCTGCCACCGCCGCTGCCCGCAGCCGCCGGGATCCCGCGCCGGCTCCGCCCAGACGGGGGAGGAGGGGCCGCTCCCGGGAGAGGGCGGGGCGGGGCCGAGTCCGGGGCGGGGCTTGCGAAAGCCGGGGAGGGGGGAAGGGCTGGAAGCGGCACCAAGCTCCGAGCAGCCTAGGGCCCGCTCCCCAACAATAAACTTTTCACTTTTCCTAACTATATTGTCGAGCTCCTACTCTTTGCATGGAAGTGAAGCGCGTGGATTCTGGAGTCAGGTTCGAATCCCAGCTCCCTCACTTTCTAGCTCGGTTTAACTTTGGACGTGTTACTGAACCTCGCGGGCCTGTTGCGCCCGTCGTCCAGGGGTCCATAACAAGAATCCCTACCTCACAGGGCTGTGTGAGGGCTCTGATCTGAGCTAGTGCCTCGAGAAAGTGCGATGCCTGACCCTAAAGTGGGCTGGTCCCTGCGAAAGACTCTGAAGGGCCCTTAGAATCAAACCTTTTCCACATAAGGAAATGGGAGCCTCTGAGAAGGGTACCTCTGTGCCTGAGGCCACACAATGAGGAAACTTGGCATCCGGGCTCAGGTGAGGCCCCAGAATTTTCAAGCCATGAGAAGATCTGCAGGCTTTGCTGGAGTCAAATCCCAGCAACTACATCTGAAGCCACCTGCTGAACTTCTCTGAGTCCCCATTGCTTCGTGGGAACGATAATAGCTCCCACCAAGGGCCACGTGGATGAAGGAAAAATGTAGCTAATCATGCACTGCCTTGTACACATCTCTTTGCAAGTGACTCTCTTCACACGTCCTTGGCCAAAGCTAGTCATGTGGCCATCCCCAAAGTCGACGGGTTGGGAAATCTGATTGTCCCCTGGGGCTCGGAGTCAGCTATTGTTACAATAATACACGGTATGTGCGATGGTTAGTACCGCGCCTTGCACACAGCAGGTGCTCAATAAATGAGCACCATTATAGGAAGAGCTTCAGGCCAGTTAATAGCTAACACTCGAAATCCAGCCACATGAATGTGGTAATGAAGGCCCTCAGCTCTACCTTTGTCCACCCCTGCGCCTGCTTTCCAGTTGGAGAAAAATGACAGCAGGCATTTCCAAAGAAGTGTTTTATTAACATTTGGGGCCTCAGCAGGGCCAGAGCGGAAGTGGGTGCTAGAGGCTCCTGAGACCCAGGGCAAGGCCTGCAAGGCAGAGCCCATTGCTCAGGAGGCAGCCCAGATTGCAAATGGAGGACAGACCATGGTAGCGGAAAAAGGTCTGGCGGAGGACACTGTACTTGGGGTCCTGCTCCCGCAGCTGGCGGTAGGGGTCGGGGCCCTGGTGGCTTCCAGGCACCTCCCCGCCCAGACCCCGCTCCTTCTCCACCCTGTGCAGGGCCCACATGGCAGCTGTGGTGCGGGGCTCCAGCCAGCGGGCGTTGACGGTGGACAGCGTGAAGCTCAGAAGCAGTAGGCCGAGCTGGTAGGGTGGTGGAAGGAGGACAAGCTGAGTCACGCCTGGGCGGTGGGAGGGCTCCTAGGGAGGGTCCTCCTGCATCCTCAAAGCCCAGAGCGGGGTGGAAGACTGCATTCGGTCAAAGCTAGGCCTCCCTGTCCTTCCCAAACCCCGTCCAAACAGAGCTCCAGCTTTCATACCCTGAAACCAGCAGCTCCCAAGGAAAGGCTCCATCACTGTCTCCTCTGTTCACCTCCCCCCACCCCCAAAAAACCCTGAGCCTCTCCTCCTCTGATACCCAGACTGGAATTTCCACAACGCAGCCTTGTCTCCTCCCCACCCCCTGCTCCCCAGAAGTGGGGGTATCTCTGGGCAGAACCTCTCTTTCCCAAATTGGGACAAAGAACCGTAACTGTTCCCCCAAAAGAGAGCCTAAGACAGGGCCCATCTCCTCTATGGTCCCTGCCCAGACCCCAGAAGCTGAGATTGGGTCCACAGGGAGTGAACAGAAAGTCCTTGAAGTTCTAGTTACCCCAAATCCTCTCCTGTATCTTTGGGATTATTCTTGAAACCCTTGTCAGGCCTTACCTGCCCACATCTGAGGAACATAATGGGGGCAGGGGGAGGGCAGGATAGAGAAATACGAGATGCAGAGATGGTTCCCTTCCTCATGGGTGAGAAAATGTGTGGATAGGAGTGGGGGACTGTAAATTCCCAGTCAGGCTGGTTTTTAAACAATGAGCTGGGGTCACTACCCCAACCCAGCTGAGTCACCACAACTTGGCAGCAGGCCCAGTCAGGGGAAAGAGAGGGAGCAGGAGCCAGCAGGGAGACACTGAGGGATAGATAGGGCTGCTAGGGATGGTTGTGCAGGCTGTGCACTGCTCAAGGGTATTCAGAGCCCAGCTTCGTATCCACCAGGAAGGTGCAGTTGCTTGTTTGTTTTAATTCTCACGAAGGTGTAGCCATAGGTGCTCAGTGGGGTCCTGGGAACGAGTCTCCAGAGGACAGTGGAGCCCAAGCCCGCATACCTGGCTGGCCTCCCAGAATGTGAGCTGAGCCCAGGCATGTTGTGGAGCCAAGATGCAGAGGTTGATGAAAGCACAGCCCATGGAGATGTGAAAGTAGAAAGGGAAGAGTTTGCTCTGCACGAAGCCGAAGGTATGTCGGGGAAGGCTTCGGAAAAGCAGGAAGCCTGTGGGGTACAGGGGACCACACGCCTGTTAGGACACTTCCAGGCCCCCCTTCTCATTCTTGTCTCCGCCCTGGGTACCCATGATGTCCAGGTGGAGGGTCCCTACCTGAGATGAAGGTCACCCACATTTGCATGCCCCAGGCCCCCGACAAGACCAGTAGATGGACCATCTTAGTCAGGCTTCCTGGATTCCCACCTTCCTCCATCTTGCAGGCCTGGGAAAGAGGCACCGGGTGTTTCAGAGTTTTACCTTTGCCCCATGGTCTTCAGCCTGTGAGCCTGCTCAAGGCCAGGATCACGGCCAACCCATGAGAGAGAGAGATCAAGGGATACCAGCCCGGGATTGCGGGTGGGGGAAGACCCAGAACAATCCTGAGACAACCTCCAACCCCATCTCTCCAAATGTCAGCCCTCAAGATCTCATGCTCTCTGGACCCCAGCATCCACGCTGCCTCCGAGACCTGAAATTTCAGTTAGCCCCAGCAGCTCAAACTCGCAGCCCTGGGTATTCAGATATCCCCCCAGTGACTCCCAAGAATTAGCCGAGGACCTAATTCTAACAGTAAAGACTCCGGCTCTCATCTCAGGATCCCAAATATCACCAGGAAGAACCCCAAAGCACCCCCGGAAACCCCATCTAATCCCAGGAAACCCCAAATTTCATTCTGAGGACACCGACCCTATCATTGCACCCAGACCTCAACCCTTAGCACCCAGGAGTCCGAGAACAGTACTGCCGGGGCCAGATGTCGGGGCCCGGGTGGGCTGAGCTCGCTACCTCACTCCTGTGCTCCCAGGCGGCCCGCGGACCTCTTCAGTCACCTCCCAAGAATTCTCCCCGCCTCCCAACTAAACCCGAAGCCAATTGGATCGTAGATCTGCCGCCTTCCGTACCACCCTCTTAGATATTGACTAATCGATTAGCGGAAACCAGCTGGAATCCCGCCCCCTAGTCTGGCTTTTATCCAATTACACCGCGGCTCCTAAGATCTGCGGAGGCAGGAAGGCGCCAATAAGACCTTCGGCTGCATCGGCGGGGGCGGAGCTAAAATGTCAGCCCCACCCCTCTCTGTGACTCTGCCTTTAGGCTTTGCGCGTTTTAATGCGATGGTGTCCCCACGGGATCAAATTTCAGCGTCACAGCTGGGGACTGGCTTCGCGGTCCTTGAGGGGAGAGCATGAGCAGGTGGTATGTGGTAGGTGGGGGTGGAAGGGGGTCTGGAGCCCGGCGGGCGCAGGATTCTCGCCCCGGGGGGGCGGGGCTCAGGCTAATGACCCCGCCCCCTTCCTCCCAAGAATTCTCCCGGAGACAGCGGGAGAAACAGTTGATGTGGGAGGGGAAGGGGGAAGGTTAAGGGGAAGGGAGGGGGGCTCGACTGGGGACCTACCTGCAGTTGGCACTCAGAAATGCATCTTCTCTTTTCCCTTTCAAGCCTCACAGGGCTCCTTTGGTCCGGTTTCCCAGGTTCTCAGTGTGACGTTCGAGGACAGTGTCCCACTACTGTATGTCAGGCGCTGGCACAGATTAATTTACTTAATCACAACTACCCAGTAAGGTGGATAGTATGGCATCCCATTTTTATAGTTGGGGACACTGAGGCATGGTGAGGTTCGGTAACACTCCAACATCACACAGCCGGGAAGGGGCAGAGCTAGGATTCGAACCCAGGCCACCCAGCTGGAGAGTCCCCTGGCTTACTTATCATGCTGTACTGCCTCTGAAAGTGCGGGCCTCCTGAGACAGTGATTCTGGAAGGGGTAGCCCAGAACATTTCAGGCAGAAGAAAAGCTCCTATATCATAAAACGGGTGTGAAGTGAGTGCTTAGGATGGTCCCTAGCACTCAGTGAGGTGCTCAGAAAATATGAGCTTAAAAAAAGGATTAAGGATTTTTTACAGAGGAAATGTTGAGTAGAGTTTTGAAGGGTGTATAGCCGACTTCCAGGAGGACTGGGCCAGAGGAAGGACACCAGACAGCCCAGCAAGGGCAGAAGAGAAAGCCCTAGAGAGTGGGCTTTCTGGCTGAGTGTGACTCAGGACAAAATGCTCTTCACCTGGAAGTTTTTCCAGACAGACCTGCCCCAGGTCTCCATCTGGGCCAGCTCTGACAACACTGGAATGTTGAACAGTGGGTATGAATGTGAGACCCAGAGCTGAATTTTTCTCCCATTCCCAGCCTCACCTAGCACAGGCCTTCGGCCCCAATTCTGCTAACATCTACTGAATAGATATGCCCTGCCTCTCCTGCTCATACTCCATGGCTCCCACTTACCTTGGGAGCCAGATATAAACTTCCCTGCTTGGCTTGCAATGCCTTGCTTGAGCTGCCTTGCTAACCTCCTCCTGCTTCCTCTTGGACCCTACCTTCAGCCATCCTGAATTTACCAGCACAGAGCATGTGGTTCCACACCTCCAAGCTTTTGTCCATGCTGTTTCCTGCCAGGAATGCCCTTCCATTAGTGCCCAATGTTAAGATCCTTTCTTGCTTTTAGGCTCTTCTGAGGCTTCACTCTCTCCTGTGGGGGTCTTCTGGATTCTTCTCACTACCCAGCCCAATGCCTGGGGCTGGGATCATCTCTCATCCAGGTTCTGCTCCTGCCGTAACTGGGAGGCCCTGTGTTCGGGGCTGAGGCCTCTCTGGGCTATTAGGGAAGGTCTGGGCGTGTCAGGACATGGGCGCTGGTCTCAGTGCAGCCCCCTGTTCCCCCTTGTTGAAGCGACCCTCTTCTGGCTGGCCTACCCCAGGATCCTGACTACTCTGTGCCCTGCTACTGCTCATCTCCCTTGCCCTCCAACGGGTGTTTGCCTGCTAACGGGAAGTGTGACAAGTACTGGGGTTTGTTGAGGGGCTTCCCTGGGGCTGGGGAGCTGGGAGGGCTGGAGTGCTCTGGGTTGGTCCTCAGAAAGCCCTCACCCCTTCATTTCCCCAACCCCCCGTCCCCCCGCCCCCCGTTCAGGTTCTTCCTCAGACAAGACCTTGGATTATACGATTCACTGGTCCAGGGCCCCAGAGCCAGAGATCGTGGGGCCAGCTGCTTCTGAGAACACAGTGCCGATTATAGACTGGAGGCTAGAGAGGGACTTGGAGCCTCAGTCATATGGGTCTTCCATCTTCCTGAACCCAGACTCAGAGGAGCAGTGTAATGACCAGGACCTTCTGAAGAGGCATCATAACACTGCTAAGGTCACCCCCACCCGGGGAAACCCACACCACAATCTACTGCTGTGGGGCTTAGGGAGGGGGCCTTGGGGGGGTCTTTCTCAGGAACCTTCACATTGTGTGACTTCAGCACCCAGAACAGCACCCAATGCTCAGCCAACCCACACTAAAAATGTCTTAAATGAATGGATGAAGGGATGAATGGAGAGGATGTGTGATTGTGTTTCTTTCTTTTTTTTAAAGATTATTTATTTATTTATTTATTTATTTGACAGAGAGAGACACAGCGAGAGAGGGAACACAAGCAGGGGGAGTGGGGAGAAGGAGAAGCAGACTCCCCATTGAGCAGGAAGCCCGATGCGGGGCTCGATCCCAGGACCCTGGGATCATGACTTGAGCCGAATGACCTGAGCTGAAGGCGTCTAGACACTTAACCACTGAGCCACCAGGCGCCCCTGTGATTGTGTTTCTTAGTGAAGTCTTGTCTGTGATAGTTTCTGGGTATGACGGCCTGCGTGTCTGGTTGTGCTTGTGTGTCCGAGTTGGGTGTGAGTGGACGCCCTGAAGGTCTTAAGCACCTGGTGTGTGTGGCTGTGTCTGAGCTTGTGTGGCTGTAGTTATGTTTCAAAGATCGTGTGCGGTTGTGCTTCGGGGCTGTTGGAGCTCCCTGGAGACATTGTCTATGTCGTTTGCCCTTAAGGAGGAGGGCCATTACCTGAGCCCTGGACAGAGACAGGGCTCTGCAGGGGTGCTTTCGGGGACAGGGGACAAACCACACAAGTACGCTTCTGACCATATGTGGGCTGGTGGGGGAAGGGTGCACACACGCATGGAGGCAGCTTTGCCAGCACTCGGGGTCTGGTACACCCAGCACTCAGCTGACCCAACTCATACCCAACCCCCACACAATGGGTTGGGGTGTGCAAAGAGAAGCACAGGGATGAATTTCTACTACCCTCATGTCCCCCTTTCCTAGAAGCCCTTGGAGACCAACTCTTCCAAAGTCAAAGGTGAGAACCCTCCCTCCCGACAAGACTATGTGCGGAAGACCTGCCAGTTCTTACCTCTACCCTCTGCCCTAGCCTGAGAGGAACCACACCACCGCTACCCACTTAGCCCTGCCCCAGCCTCAGCTGAGTCTTGCCCCTGACCTTGTCCCCCACTCCTGCCTCTACCTCAGCCTCAACAGACCCCAGCTCTTTACTTGAGCCCCTGCCCCTTGCCCTCCCCTGAGCTTCTGCTGACCTCTGACCTGACCTTGCCCCTGCCCCCACTCCTCCTAGCCTCGTCTGACCCTTAACTCTGCTCATAGTTAAGTCCACCATGATGATTCCTGACTCCCAGAAGCTCCTGCACTGCGAACTGGAGTCACTCAAGAGCCAGCTACAGGCCCAGACCAAGGTGAGGCTCCTCTGCCCCGTCCTCGGAGACCTCTGGCCCTGTTCCCCTGCTCCCTGCTCCTGACCTCTTCCCCACAGGCTTTCGAGTTCCTAAACCACTCAGTGACCATGTTGGAGAAGGAGAGCTGCCTGCAGCAAATCAAGATCCAACAGCTTGAAGGTGAGGACTGGCCAAGGGTCAAAGTCAGGCTGGAGGCTGGTCCTGTTGGGGTCAGCTGGGTTAGCCCAGGGTGAAAGAAGTTGGGTGACTCTAGGGTCAGGGTCAGGGTCTGGCTAGGGTTGGGGCCAGCTGGATTCGAAGCTGGGCTCAGGTGTGGTTGGGGCTCAGTCATGATCCCATCTAATCTGCAGAGGTTCTGAGTCCTATGAGCCGCCAGACAGAGAAGGAGGGACACAAGTGGGGCATGGAGCAGGGACGGCAGGAGCTGTATGGGGCCCTAGCTCAAGGCCTGCAGGGACTACAGAAGACCCTGCGTGACAGCGAGGAGGTGCAGAGGGCCCGCACCACTCGCTGCCTGCAGCTGCTGGCCCAGGAGATCCGGGACAGGTGGGCATCACCAGGAGGGCAGCCTGGAAGCTGGGGGAGGGAAGGGAGGGAAGGGAGCGGGAGCCAGAGGTGGGATGTGGGATGAGGCAAATGGGAGAGGCCTGGATAAGGGGACCTAGGGGCCATGGAAGGTTTGAGGGACAAGATGGGGGGAGGAGGAGGCAGTGAGAAGGTGTGGGAAGCTGGGAGGCCAGAAGGCAGGAGGAAGGAAGAGGAAGACAGGAAGCTGGAGATGGGATGGGGAGGGAGGCCAGGAGATCAGGAAACTGGACATGATATGGGAAGCTGGAGGGAGGAGAGATTGAGAGTGGCAGAGGCTGGGGAGTATGGGAGGTCAGAGGGGCAGAAGGTGGGGAGACGGAGGCCAGGCAATGAGAGGCTGAGAGAATGGGAGGCTGGAGGTCAGGAGGAGGGCACAAGGGGCTGGGGGATTGGAGGTGGGGGAGTAGAGGTAGGAAGGGCAAGGTGGGCAGGGAGGTTGGGGGAGGGGACAGATCCTGGGGGGGATGGGAACATGAGAGTTGGAGGAGGCTTGAGGAGGCAGGTGGGCAAATGGGAGGCCAGAAGGCCAGGAAATAGGAGGTCAAAGGCTGAGCAGGGAATGTGGGTCTAGGCTGCACTGTCCCCTCAGCAAGAAGTTCCTGTGGGAGGAGCTGGAGCTGGTGCGGGAGGAGGTGACCTTCATCTATCAGAAGCTCCGTGAGTGCCTGGAGCCCACGGCCAGAAGGGGGGTCCTTCTGCTGCTCTGGCCCCCCTGAGTCCCCTCCCCCCACAGAGGCTCAGGAGGACGAGATCACAGAGAACCTGGTGAACATCCAGAAGATGCAGAAGACACAGGTGAAGTGCCGCAAGGTGAGCAAAGAGGGTGGGACCCTGTGTGAGATCTGGGGACGTGGGAATCTCTGCCGGCCTCCGCCGTCACACTGGGGTCCCCACAGAAGGAGCCAGAAGGACTGGGTTCAAATCTCAGCTCTGCCACTTAACTGCTGTGTGACTGTGGTCTAGTCAGTTGACCTCTCTGGGCCTCAGTGTCCTCATCCGTATAATGGGTATGACACGGTATCCCTACCTGAAGGAGCAGCTGCATGAACTGCATACTAAACACTTTGAGGGCAGCCTGACATATCATCAGTGAAGGGTCACTTTTCACCATTTCTGTTATTACCATTGTTGTCTCATACACACTTGCCACCCCCTGGCCTCAGGTCCTGACCAAGATGAAGCAGCAGGGGTATGAGACATCCAACTGGCCGGCCACTGAGGAGATGCCACCAGGAGGCAGAGGCTCCTGGAGGGATGACCTCCAAAAGGAGCTGAGTGACATATGGTGATGCCCTGCTCCCACCCTAACCTCTGACTCCTGACTTTCATCTGCCTTGCCCTCCCACCAATCAGTTCAAGCAGCGACTACCAGAACCTGGAACCCACCTGAGTCCAGGCCTCCCTCTCCTCCCAGGACGCACCTCTACCCCTGGCCCCTGGTCCCCACCGTGGCCCCCCTGCCCCAGCCCTGACCAATCGGGAGCCTCCCAGCGCCCCCAGGCCCCCATCTCCCCGCAGGTCTGCTGTGCACTTGCTGCAGAACTCCTTTGATGGCTTCACCATGTCCTCAGGCCTCCCCAGGGCCTTGAACCTCGGGGGTAAGGGGGGATGAGGTGCACTCTGGGGTGTGTGTGTGGGGGGGTCATTCTCCAGTTTCACACATGGAGGTCATGTTCAGAGGCCATATTTGGGGATCACCTCTTTTGGGGCTTCTTCTAGGGTCCCATTAAGGATTTCCATCCTGGGGTCACTCAAGGTCACTGGGATCTTTTTAAAGGATCCGTGGGGTATTCAAGGATCACTGAGGTCATACTTTGGTATCACGTTGGGTCACATTTAAGTGACAAAAGGAACACTGGCCCTGGATCACAATGTCACTCAAGGGTCACATTCAGGGTTTGTGGGTGAAAGGCCAGAATTGCACCTGTCGCTCCCGCAGGCAACAAAGGGCGCCGAGGCCTGAGCCCTCTGTTCCTCTCCTGGGACTCAGACTCAGACCAGGATCCTTCCCAGCCACCATTCAGCAAGAGCCGCTCCCTCCCATCTGGTACGGAAGCTCCCCTGCTCTACCCGACCCTTCCTCTCCTGGCCTGCCCTCCAGTGCCACAGTATGGACCCTCGCAGCTCACAACCTGGGCATCTGCTCCCTGATTTCCAGCCCTGAGGTCCTCTGGACTAAGCTGGGCCCTGACCGCCCTGACCCACTCTCTCTCCACAGCCTGAGCAGCCGGGACTGCTCTCCCTGAAGACCCCTCCAGAGAGAAAATAAACTAGCCAAGACCCTCTTCCACCTGTGGACTGTGTTGCTCCTGTTGCTTCCTGTGCCTGAGAATGACCGCACCCACACCCAGTTTACTTTCCAGTGTTGGGGAGGGTGTGGGGCAGAGGCTGTTCAGGATGTGCAGGCTTAGGATCAGGGGACATTGTGAGGCCAAATGTAATATATAACAAGGTCAGTCTGTCCAGATATGAGTATCCAGACAGGCTCTTTCACACTAGCCACCAGAGCTCCTTTCTGGGGGGCCCTGGCGCTCTAGTCTACTGCCCCAAAGGAGAAACTGAGGCACAGGGAGGGAGGGTCGAGGTCCAGGGTCACGCTCTCACCTTGCCCTCCTCTTCCCCTCAGCGCCCCCACCGCCTAGTTCTCCCTCAACCTGCATCCTTCATTCCCTCCCACATTTGTCTTAACCCTCTCGGGCCCCCAAGAGCAACAGAGGCCCCGCCCCGGACCATGCTAATGAGACGCCGCGAGTCCCCGCCCCGCGGGGTTATGCAAATAAAGCACCCGGAGGCCCCGCCCCTCGCCCCTTCGCTGAGCCTGCGCGGCGCTGCCAGGCCGCCGGCGTCTCCCGTCTCCGTGTCCCCCGCGGGGCCTGCCGTCCCGTTCGTTCGTCCTGCCGCCCTGGTGACGTCTAAGCGGAGCGGGGGCTCAGACCGTGACAGCCTCGACCCGGTGAGGGAGAGGGGCCTGGGGCGCTCCCGGCACCCCCTCTCGCGGGCTACCGACCCTCGGTCTGTCTGTCCGGCCAGGGTTCAGCTCCCGAGGGGTCGGGTCCCCTGTGGGTCCGGCGCAGGGAGGGGGAGGGGAGGCAGTGAGCTGGGGCTTGAGAACCGGGCTCCGGGAGGGGAGCGTGGAGAGGGGACCCCGGGCCGGAGAAGCCAAGCGGCAGGTGGTGAGGGTGACTGTGATTGTGCGGTTGTCTTTTTGTGTCAGCGTGTGGTTGTGTAACTGTAATTGTGTGGCTTTGGGGATGCCTGTGTGGTCTGTGTGGTGTATGTGTGACTCTCCTGTGGCTGTCATTGTGGGGCTGGCATCACGGGTGTCACGCTGAGGGTGTGTATGGCTGTGCTGTTGTGACGGCTATCACCGACTGTGCGGGCCGGCTCCGTGGCTGTACGGTTGTGTGCCTATGACTGCCATTGTGTGTTCCTTCTGAGGGTGTGGGGGCCCATTTTTATGTCTCAGTGTGGGGCTCTGATCATGCGCCTTTCTTGTGTGGCTCGGTGTGCAAGTCCGTGTCGTGGTCCATGTATGTGCCCTTGCGTGGCCATGTGGCTGAGCTTGTGGATGACATCGTCTTTCCTGTGAGTGTCGGTGTGGATGAGACAGAGACTGTTAATGTGTGTGGCTGTCACTGAGTGCCTGGTAATTGGGGGTGTGACGCCGTGACCGGTTTATGACCCCCAGTGTGTGTGGTGACTCTTTTTGATGTAACTCGCAGTGTGGTGGCAGCCCTGAGGCTATGTCCCTGATGCGGGTGGGGTGAGTGCTTGTGTGGGGCTGTGTGCGGGGCTGTGAAGTGGATGAAGGACCCCCCCCTTGTGTCCCTATGACTGTGTGTGCGTGTGGGGGGGGAGTGGTTTGATCTGCGTGGGTGTCTGTGACAGGCTGTGTGCACCCTGGGCCATGTGTGTGAGTGTGCAGTTGTGTGTAGTGGGTGCTGGGCACCTGTCTGAATGAGCAGGCCTGTCTTGTTCACCACAGGCAAAGTGCCTAGAACCCAGCAGGCACTGGATCCTTGTTGGTGGAATGGACAAGTGCTATACCGTGTGTGTGTGTGTGTGTGTGTGGTGTTTGGGCTGGAGGCTGTGGCTGAGTTGTGTACTCTAGGGATGCCAGCATGTGTGATTGTGTCTCTGGAAGGGTGAGGGGCCCTGGCCACATGGGCATCTGAGATCTCTGGTGACCCTCACCCCACATGTCACACTGCAGAGCAAGCTGCGTGGATGGGGCACTGGACCCAGAGTGCCTACCCTCACCTTCCTGGGCCTCAGTTTCCACATCTGTGCAATGGGGTTGACCATCCCTGCCCTGCTGGCCGCCAGGAGCGGCTGTGAGTCTGTGGGTGTGGCGGAGGCCTGTGGGAAGCCATAGGGCCCTTTCACAGGTGAGGTCAGCCTGGGAGAATGGGTCGAGCAGATGTGGCTCTGTTGGCCCCTCAGTGCTGGGGACCGAGGTTAGATTGGGGGGAGAGGGGGCTTGTTGGGAGAAGATAACCCCCTCACGACACAGACAGGCAGACAGGCTGGGAGGAGGGGAAAGGGGGAGGCAGCTGGGATAGAAGGAGGGCCTGGCCATCAGCCCGAGAATCAGTCAGGCACAGCCCATGGGGACAGGAGAGAGAGGCCCCTGTGGGCCATGGGGGAAGGGACTCAGAGGAGGAACCTGGTGGATGTGGGGGACACAGAGCATGGGGTCCATTATAAAGCACATGGGGAAAGAGAATGGGGTCTCCTAAAAACCAGTGGGGGTGAGGACCCTTCTCTGTGGGGGAGGGGTCCCGTTAAGCTGGAGAAGTCTCTTCCAAGGGCTATGGGGAGGTGACCTGTATGGTAAGGAGGAGAGACCCTCCTAAAAAGCTTGGGGTCCGAATCTCCTATGTGGGCTGTTGGGGGAGAAGACCACTATAGAATCTCTGGGATCCCTGGCAGAGGATGAGCTGGGCTGGTTGTGTCAGGGGAGGCCTCCAATGGGCAGAATCCTGGATATTCAGAGTCATGGCCAGAAGGCTCAGTGGGTGGAGCCAGGGCTCCTTTGTAGTAGTTCTGGGGTCTGGGGCCAGGGGGAGGGGGGTCATGGTGTGGCCAGAGACTCAGGCGGGTGACCAGAGCCTCCCCCTAGGCCCCACCCTGGCCGTCCCATTCCCTCCCCACCTCCACAGGGCCGGTATTCACCATGGCAGGAGGGAGACCCCAGTCGAAGAGGAGTTTCTCCATCATTCCTTGCTTTGTCTTCGTGGAGGTGAGGAACCCAGTAACTCTCACCCCGCCAGTCCACCCCCCCAGACTCGCTCCCAGACCCTCAGCGGGGAGGAGGGGTGTTCAAAAGTGACACTCCCAGAGTTCCAAGCCCACCCTTACCACAGAACTCTGGGTACCTCACATACCCTCTTGAGCTTCAGTTTCCTTGGCTGTCAAATAGGCGTAATCAGAGTCCCTTTCTCCTAGGGCAGTTATGAAGGTAAGATGTATTAATTCACGGAAGAGGTTCAGTATGATGTCCTGCCCCCAGTAACAGTTGTACTTCTGGAAGCTGCTAGAACTTCTACTAGCAGTTTTATCTTTTCCCCTCTTGGTCTATGTCCCCGGCCCCCACTGACCCCTCTCTCTGGTCTGAGCCCTGGCCCAGTCCTCACTCGCTCTCCCCCATCCTGTCTCCTCTCTCCTTTCCATTCTACTAGTCCCTTCTCTTTCTCTTCTCCTCCTCTGCCCTCCCCTCCCCTCCTGTCTTCTCTTTCTGTTTCTGTCCCTTTGTGTCTCCCAGGCCCCGACCATTCCCAGCTTCTCTCTGTGTCTCCTACCCTTTGTATCTCCCTCAGGCTTGATCTGTCTGTCTCTCCTCCCCATCTCGGTCTCTCTCCATCTCTGTGTCTCTCGGCATGGCCCCAGCTTGGACCTGACCCTGTCTCTTCTCTCTCTGTCTCCCTGCCATGACTGGGTGGCAGTCAGTGCTTCTGGGCATCGTGGTCCTGCTTGCTTACCGCCTGGAGTTCACGGACACCTTCCCCGTACACACCCAGGGGTTCTTCTGCTATGACAATACCTATGCCAAGCCTTACCCAGGGCCTGAGGCTGCCAGCCGAGTGCCTCCTGCACTGATCTATGCCCTGGTCACTGCTGGGCCCACCCTCACGGTGAGACTGGGGGTAGCCTTGGTCAGACCCAGGCGGCAGGAGGGGCAGGTGGAGGTGGGTGGAGGGTTGGATTTGAAGGCCAGGAAGACCCTGCCTTGATCTTGCCCACAGATCCTGCTGGGGGAGCTGGCGCGTGCCTTTTTCCCCGCGCCACCCTCAGCCATCCCCATCATCGGGGAGAGCACCATCGTGTCTGGGGCCTGCTGCCGCTTCAGCCCCCCACTGCGGAGGCTGGTCCGCTTCCTGGGTGAGTGATGTGGCCAGGGGGTCAGCTATGCAAAGGAGATCTGGGCCAGATTCAGCCATAATCATTTTATGGGGAAAGAGCCTAGAACTGCCATGATGGTGCCTCATGAGGTGAAGAGGGATGTGGCTAAGGCCAGGCACAACAGAGGTTCTAGGCACAATGGTGGGGCCTAATCCAACCATGGTGGCAATGGTCAGGGCCCCAGATTGCTACGAGGAGAGTCTCAATGCAGAAGAGGGGGACACAGGCCCAGGCCAAACACCAGTCCACCCCACCCACCCCAAGCAGGAAGATGAGACCCCACTGTGTGGTTCCAGCCACAGTCGGTGGCCATGGTATAGAAGGGCAGAGCTCATCCAAAATGGTGGTCCCTATGACAGAGGGCTGGAGAGATCTAGCTCTGGCTGACTGTTGAGCCAGGAAAAAAGTGATCAACTCAGTAACAGTGAGTCCAGGGCAGGTGTAAAGTGGCCCAGAAATGCCATCAGGCATGGGCCCAATCCTGATGTCATGCTGTTGAGGTGTCCTAGCCCAACTATTTTGGGGTTCCAGGGGAGGACCCGCTCCTGACATGGTAGTAATCCAAGGGGGACAGAAGCAAGAGGCTCAGAGTATCCTCATAGTGGTCCCAAGGGGAGAGAACCTTGGCCCAGCGATAATGGGATATGGCTTTAGGGGGATTCCCAGCTGTGCTTTAATGATGGTCACAGGAACAAGGCGCCCAGATGAGCCATAGGGGCTCACAGGAGGAGGGCCCCTGGGGTATCAGGGGCCCAGCATGAACTCCCTCTCCCACCCCACCGCCAGGGGTCTACTCCTTCGGCCTCTTCACCACCACCATCTTCGCTAATGCGGGGCAGGTGGTGACTGGCAACCCTACGCCGCACTTCCTGTCCGTGTGCCGCCCCAACTACACGGCCCTGGGCTGCCCACCGCCCTCGCCCGACAGGCCAGGACCCGACCGCTTCGTCACCGACCAGGGTGCTTGTGCCGGCAGCCCCAGCCTGGTGGCCGCTGCGCGCCGTGCCTTCCCCTGCAAGGATGCTGCCCTATGCGCCTATGCAGTCACCTACACAGCGGTGAGCCCCAGAAGAGAGGCACAAAGATGGGGGGCGGCCAGTGGGCAAGGAGGCCACTCTGGGCTGGAACCTCTGATTCCTTTCCGGGGTAAAGTCACACCCCGGTGCTGGGGCACTGTCCCTGGGGTGGCCCCACTCCTCGGGCCGGCGGGCCAGAGTTCATTGCCCTGTTCTTGACTGCCTCTTTTGGGTCTGGCCACGCCCCTGGCCCAGGAATGCCACACCCAAAGGAGGCTGTTGGCTCCACCCCGTGGGACCAAACACTGTTCCTGGAGCACTGCACTCCATTCCCTGGAGCCTCGCCATGTCCCCATGATGCTATAGGTCCCTAAATATTGGCTGGGACACTGGGTGGGTGGGCTTTCAACTCGGGTCCCCTGGAGCCTGGGAGGGAGGACCCCTCCCTTTGTCCTTGCCCTTTCTTGATCTGGCCACGTCCCCGACTTGACCCACTGGGACTTCCTCTGTCCCCAGCTTTTCCTTGGTTCCCACCTCCTGTTGCTTTGACTCCTTTATCTAACGTCCAGGACTAGTTTCTATTCTTGTCAGTGGATCCCTGGGGTTTGGGGATTCCACCTCCTGGAGTTCCCGGACCTGCCCCCTTGGGCCTTGACTCCACCCTCTGGTTCTGAAGCTGTGCACTAACCTAGCAAGGATCTTTCCCAATCTGTGATTGGTCCTGGGGAGACCTGGGCCCCAGACTCCGTCCACTGCTCTTTGGTGCCCTGGCCACGCCCCCATCCCTGCAAGGGCCTGCTGGGAGTTCACGACTCCATCCCTGAACTCCTGTCCCCCTTGCTCTGTTGCCTGGAGCCTCCGGCCCCAATGCCATTCCTAGGGATTCTGGCCACGCCCTCTGGCCCGGAAGGCAGGATCCACTTGGGTTCGGCAGCTGTGCTGCCATGCGTCCCCTGACTGCTCTGGCTCCCACAGATGTACGTGACTCTCGTGTTCCGCGTGAAGGGCTCCCGCCTGGTCAAACCCTCGCTCTGCCTGGCCCTGCTGTGCCCCGCCTTCCTGGTGGGCGTGGTCCGCGTGGCCGAGTACCGCAACCACTGGTCCGACGTGCTGGCGGGCTTCCTGACAGGCGCAGCCATCGCAACTTTTCTGGTGAGCCACCTTGCCAGCCATTCCAGTATGGGAGACCCTCTATCAGCTCTCTGACCCAAGAAGCTGGACCACACGATACTGAAGGGTGTGGACTCTGTGTGACCTTGGGCGAGTCCCTTACCTTACCCTGCCTGGATGTTCTCATCTGTGAAATGGGATGACAGGACCAGGACCAGGGTAAGTAGAGTGAGGTCCTTGCTTTGAGTGCAGAATTTAAAGGGCCACCAAGGCACTCAGTAATCAAGATAAGTAATGTTTTAATGAGATATCTTTAAAAACCAAAATTAATGCGGGGCGCCTGGGTGGCTCAGTTGGTTAAGCGACTGCCTTCGGCTCAGGTCATGATCCTGGAGTCCCTGGATCGAGTCCCGCATCGGGCTCCCTGCTCGGCGGGGAGTCTGCTTCTCCCTCTGACCCTCCTCCCTCTCATGCTCTCTGTCTCTCATTCTCTCTCTCTCAAATAAATAAATAAAATTTAAAAAAAAATTGATGCAAAAACATATGATGTCCAAAATATCAAAAACTTAGAAGACAGGATCAGATCCTGCCTTTGCACCACTCGGCTTTACTTGCCTCACCCTAGTCACGGCGCTTTGGAATAAATAATAATAGTACCTACCTCTTAGTAAGGTGGAAAGAATGGTGCCTGGCACATAAATGTACTGGAAAAATGTTAACTGAATACCTGAGCCTCAGTTTCCTTATCTGAAAAATGGGGATGGTATTTATGCCATTCTTATATTATTGGCTTCAGGCCTCAACATGCCCCTCTCACTCTGTCCCAGGTCACCTGTGTCGTACACAACTTCCAGAGCCGGCGGCCCTCTGGCCGAAGGCTCTCCCCCTGGGAGGACCTGGGCCAAGCCCCCACCATGGACAGCCCCCTCGAAAAGTTAAGTGTTGCCCAGGTAAGGGGGGCCGGGGGTCTGCTCCCGGCTGGAGAGGGTGGTGGGTGGAGGGGGACCAAGGAGGCAGGAAGTCAGGCAAGAGGTGGGGTCTCCAGGCCATGGGGAGGTAGAGGGATTGCTCGTCTCTGTAGACCTTGGTCCTGGGGGACAGTCACACAAAATAGAAGGGTGTGTTATGGTTATGTTGGGCCCTTCTAGTTGTCTTTTCCACTGGCTCTGCCTGATGAACCCCTCATGGCTGTGGCCAGCGGGGCCCAGGGGGCCGCTAGCCCCTTCCTTCTGCCTCTTTGTCTTAGGAACCTGAAGCCTGCAGGCCGCATTCGACACCGGCACGGCTCACCCCATCCAGTGAGTGTCGAGGGAGTGGGGGGAAAACCGGGGGGACTTCCAGGTCACAGTCACTGCCACAGAGGTCTCGCCTATGCTCTCGTGGCCCCCTCCCAAGCTTTCTGATCCCCTGACCTCTGACCCTGACCCCCAGAGTCGCAGAACTGTGCCCGCCGTGGCCACCTGATCCCCAGCTGCGTGTCCTCCAGGGCTCCAGCCATGTGTTCGTCGCCCCGTGTGCCCCGTCCTCGATTGAGGTCTGAGCCGACGCCCCTGCCCCTGCCCCTACCCCTGCCAGCACCAACCCCCAGCCAGGGCCCCTCACCCTCCTCCCCTGGGCCTGGGGGGCCGGGTGGGGGTGGCGGACGTGGTCGGAAGTTGCTCCTGCCCACGCCCCTGCTTCGGGACCTGTACACCCTTAGTGGACTCTATCCCTCCCCCTTCCACCGGGACAACTTCAGCCCTTACCTGTTTGCCAGCCGTGACCACCTGTTGTGAGGCCCCACCGCCCTCCCAGAATCTGCCAGGTCCCCATTCCTTCCCTGCCACACGTGTGTGTGCGTGTGCCATGTGAGTGCCAGAGCCCTCAGTGCACAAACCAGCCCGGCCTAGGCATTAGAGGCTGGCTGGGAGGACATTTGGGGAGCCCCCTGCCTCTCTTGCCCTCTGGGATACCCAAGTGGGCATAACTGGGAGGGCCCTTGCCCCTAGCATTGCTCTTTTAAGAGCCAAAACCTGACCCCATTGGCCATTGTTCAGCCAATGGGAGCCCCCAGTTCTAAAATTTCTACCTAAAAGGAGTTTACTCCAGCCAATGGGAGCCTCCCCTCATGTCTTTGACATCTCAGGCAAGAGGGTAACTCCAGTTAGTGTTCAGCGTCTGAACAACCAATAGAAGTCCTTGGTTTTCAGAATTTCTAGGATGGGTGGGTATGATTCCAGTCAATGGGGGACCGCCAATGTCTAAGAACGAGCAAGGGAGGAGAGGGAGATGGGGTCATCCCTTGTCATCGGGTCCTCTCTCAGATTCCAGAGAGTCCAGCTAGAGCATGGGGGGCAGGCTCCCCCATGGCAGGGTCCTTGGGGCACCCCTTCCTCTCTCAGGCCCTCCCCCATGTGCAATCCCTCACTCAGTCCCTCCTAACTCCCAACTTATGCAGGGCTTGCCCCAGTTCAGAGGTTTTGGGGTTCAGGGTGCTGTGTCTCCCCTTGTCTGTTCCCAGGTCACTCCAAACCCTCCTGTTATTAGGGCTATGGGAAGGGACTTTTTTTTGCCTTGGAATCTGCCCTTGTTCTTTCCAGTGCCCCCCATCCTGGGCCCCAGCCTCCTGCAGACGTGCCATCATGCGGGGGCATGAGTGGAGCAGAGAGGGCTCCCCTGCCCCAGGCAGCCAAAGGCAGTGGGCAGAGGAGACACTGCCCCCCTTTCCTGCCCCCTCCTTATCTTTAATAAAGACCTGTTTGTAACAGAAGTTTGGCCACCTGCCTTCCTCCTCCCCCAGGTGTTGGGGTGTGGAAGAATTTAATCACTGGTATGTGCGTTTATTGTCACAGTGGATCTGAGAGTGATTATGGAAAAGCAGTGTGGGGTCATTGAGCCAGCGACTTGGATTTAAATCCTGGCTCAGCATTTCCTGGTTGCATGACCTCAGGAAAGTTAACCTCTCTGTTCTGTTGTTTCTTCAGTCCCACAAGCTACATGTAAGGCACACAAACACATGGTGAGGGGCCTCACATGACTCCTCCAGACAGCTAGCCTGTTTCTGACTATGGCCAGGGTGCAGAGGACACAGGGAATAGGACGAGGGCACTAGGAACCTCCATGCCAACCCCCTGGCTGCGTTGATAGGGGCAAGGGTTCTGAATGATATTGTGCTGAGACCCAACCCTTGAGGACCCAGTGGAAACCAGGATAGGAAGGGCATGGAGGCACAGACCTCCCCACAGCCCACTGTGGCTCTGGCTTCAGACAGGCCATTCGGGGCATGGAGTCATTCAGGAACCAGCGAAGGGTTATCTGCTCCCCCCCTTCTATTCATTCATTCATTCATTCATTCATTCATTCATTCAACAAACACTGTGGATCACCTACTGTGTGCCAGGGGCTGTAGCAGTGAACAGGTCGGACACAAATCTCTGCCTCAGGGAGCTAACATTCTAATATGTGAGAGACAGACAACAAGATAAATAAGCTAGATACAGAGTCACAGTGCCAAATTCCAAAAAGGTCTGAAAACCAAAATTTTTTCATAACCCACTTGTGGCAAAACCTGACCTTTACTGACATAAGGTTATTATACCTTTTATTTATTGAACTTGATGTAAATATTGTTGTTTCATTGCAGATAAAGGAAAGTGTTTGATTTTGAGATGTCATCCCAGGCCCCACTAGGGATGTTATGCAATACATAGTCTTATACCATAGTACTTTTTAAAAATCTGAAAAGTTCTGAATTCCAAACTCTAGGATCAAGGGTTTAGGTCAGGGTTTGGGATCTCTGATATATTAGATATTGATAAGTGATAGGAGAAAATTAAAGCTAGAGAAGACAATGGGACAACTTTAGGATGGGGACACGGTTTGCAATTTAAAGAGGCATGAAGGAGGGAGGAGAGAGCTATGTAAATATGGCAGGGGGGAAGGAACGTTCGAGGCAGAGGGAAGAGCAAGCACGAAAGCCCTGAGGTGGGAACCAGTCTGCTGTGTTCAGGGAACAGTGAGGAGGCCTGTGTGGCTCAGGTGAGCCAGGGAAGAGGCAGATAGAGGGAGAGGAGGTGGCATAGGTGGTGGGGCTGATTGTGGGCCATGGGAAATGATATGAGAGCATGAGAGGGCTTAAGGCAGAGGAGGGATAGAATCACGGAGCCCCCTTCTTCACCAAACAGAGCTCCTATTTCCAGGGATCGCACCCCTGAGAGCCATGGTTCCTTCTGTCCCACAGCTACCTCCATGCGGGCCAGGACAGAAGCAAAACTTCAGCACAGCGGACAGCACTCCAGGCAAACCAGCTGGCGCTGTCCGCGGTTCTGAAATTAAGTGCTGGCCAAGAAAGGGTAAAGTGGGGATTGCCAGACACAAAGAAGCGTTCGGGCCTGCTAGAGAGGGTGGAGACAGCTGGTCTCGCTGTGTCCACACCCTCATCCCAGGATGGATAATTTTAGGTATAAAATCCAGACTAGGGCATATGTACATATTCAAAAGATTCCTCAACATGCCCCCGTAGGTCCCACAGAATTTCTAACTCAACTAAAACCTAGTTCTGGTTTATAATGTAAGTAAGACCACAACCATCCTCTGCTCAAAGCCTCTTGTGGCTGGCTCCCCATGCATGCTGGTAAAAGCCAAAGTTCTCCCAGTGCCTCAGAGCCTTTGCACTTAGAGGTGCCACCGCTTGGAATGCTCTTCCGCACCCCGCCTCCCCCCCTCCCCCCATATACATGGTTCACTCCCTCACCTCCTTCAGGCCTTTATTCAAATGTCACCTTCTCAGTGAAGCCTCCCCCTTCCACTCTATTTCAAATTGCAAAATCAAACAACTGGTCTTTCCAGCTCTTGTTTACCCTGTGCAAATTTTTTTGGCATACACTTGTCATCCACTCACAGACTACTTAAACTCCTCGTTATGCTTAGTGGCCATTATCTTCTCCCTCACTAGGATGTCAGCTCCACAAGGACAGAGACTTAGTTGTCTTTTTTTTTTTTTAAAGATTTTATTTATTTATTCATTTATTTGAGAGAGAGAGCATGAATGGGGAGAAGGGGCAAAGAGAGGGAGAAGCAGACTCCTTGCTGAGTAGGGAGCCTGACACAGGGCTTGATCCCAGGACCTCGAGATCACGACCTGAGCCGAAGGCAGATGCTCAACTGACTAAGCCACTCTTAATTGTCTTTTCACTGCTGAAGCCCTGGTGCCTAGAACAGTGCCTGGCACTAGGTGCTCAATAAAATTTTATTAAATGAATGAATTAATCACTTGATGCTGAAATATGAGGGAGAAACACAGACTGACTCTGGGCTGTCCACTCCCCTGTCCCTTCACACTTTGGTCCTCCCTCCTCCTGGGAGCTTCTTTACAGTAAGGGTCCTTCCACCAGGACATGAAGACAGGCATCTGAGAAGTGAGAGAAAGAAGTACTATGTGTACAAGAAATATGCCAAACATTTGCATCTCTGCCAACGTACTCAGTCTACATTTACAAGCACCTGCTGTGTTCTGGGTGCTGTTCTAGGAAGTGGGGGCCGAGCAATGAACAAAAGAAAGAACCTCCCTGGTGGAGTTGACATTCTAGTGACAAGAGAGGCAATAAGTAGATAACATTGGAAATGATAAGTTATTTGAAAAGAAAGATGGATAAAGAGTGTAGGGCATGCATTTTTACACAGGTGACCAGGGAAAGCCTCTCTGAGTAGGTGATATTTGACCAAGACCTTAATGGAGTGGGTGTGAGCCACAGGGATATTTGGGAGCTGAGTGCTCTCAGCAAGGGAATACGGAGTGCAGTGGGGCTGTGTTCGGCATGCTCCCGTGTATGTATGTAACTGCACGACTATGTGATACTGTGTGTCACCCAGTATGTCACTACTGGGTGCTTGTGCATTTGGAGGGTTGCAAAGTGAGGTGAATCATGGGTTGTGCATCTGTTGGGGGGGGGGTTGAGGTGGTACGTTTGACAAGGAGTGTAACAGTGTGCTTCGTGTGTTTGTGTGTAGAAAGAGCTGCAGGCACATTAACTGAAATGAAATGTATCTATGTGTGTGCACGTGTGTGTGTGTGTGTAATAGCAATAGTATGGTTGTATCAGAGTGTGTTTTAGTGTGTGTGCAAGGGAAATGGTGTGGGGACGTAAATGTGGGAGAAAGTGTATGGGATGGTTTGTGTCAGGATAGGGCTATGAACATGTGGGTGATGGGAGTTCTGGAAGTAGAATATATGCAGAGATGCCATGGTGTGTGTGTGTGTGTGTGTGTGTGTGAGCGCGTGTGTGTAGAGGGGTGTGGAGGTGACTGGCTGTGTGGGTGGGTGTATTGGGGGATGCTGTGGATCTGTTTTCTGGCCCCAGAGGGAGAGAAAAAGCCCAGGAAATATCAGTTCCGCCCCGCCCCTGGGTCTCCTGGCAACAGCACCACTTTGAAGTTACCAGGAGACAGAGTTGCCAGGGCAACAGGGGTGAGTGGCAGCTGTGGGGCGAAGTCTGGGTGAGGAGACCCAGCCAGCCATCACTTAGCCACTTATCTTGTTCCCCCTCCTTTCCCAGTTTCTCATCAATCCTACCTTCCTTTCTTCATTCATTCGTTTAACAAGCATATATTGGGAATTTACAATGATCCAGTCACTGTTCTGGGCGCTGGAGACACCTAAGTGAACAAGACAACGTCTCTGCCTTGGCTGTCCCTTAGTCTCCCACCCCGTGTGCGTCTTTGTCTCTCCTGGCACCTTCTTTGGTCTATGGTCATGCCCGCCCCCTCACCCCAAGAAAACCCAAGGAGCCCCCAGGACAAAGAGGAAGTCAGCTGAGACTCCTCTTCTCACAGATTCTCAGAGATGGCTGCTGCTTTTTGCCCACGAATGTTTCTGAGCCTGCAGCCTCCAACACAAGCTTGTGCCAATACTAAGGTGCGGAGAAAGAAGCACACAAGCTCCTCCATCACTCACCTTCTCAGCTGTCATTGGGTGACATCAGCAGAAACACACACAGACACATTCATCATAATATTCCTCTGATCATGAGCTCCATTTTACAGGTGAGCAGACTGAGGCTAGGAGACTTTAAGTAATGTGTCAGTGATTAGGACCTGTTTCCTTCAACTCTCGATCCTTATATTTGTCTGATTAGCTGATTAGTTCACAATAATAATATTCGTGCTGCTTTCCTAAGCCAACTTGCGCAAAGGAAGGGCCTTTTCTCCCTCAAACGCCTCCATTCCTGCTCCCTCAAACTTAAGTTATTTGCCCCTTCACCGGGGGGAGGAGCTAGTAAAGGCCAATCTAACTTTGATGGCAGATCCATGAACCAATGGAGAAGCTAATGCATTGTAACCAATGAGACCTCGGCTTGGGCGGGATTAAGGGCAGGAACGGGCCGCTGATTGGACAGAAGTATGTTGCGAATGGCGGAGGTGCTGAGGCGGGTGCTAAACCTGGGCAGCTCGGCAGAGTCCGAGGAGGAGAACACGGCTGAAGCTGGACCGCCCTTGCTGCTCCTCGGCGGTCCAGGGTCTGGAAAGACGGCGCTGCTATTCGCGGCGGCCCTGGAAGCGGCAGGAGAGGGCCGAGGCCCCGTCCTCTTCCTCACCCGGAGGCCTCTTCAAAGCCTGCCCCGCGGGAGAGGAGCAGCGCTCGACCCCCTGCGGCTACAGGTAACCGAGGGATGGGACCGAAGGCGGACTAGTTAGTACCTGAGTCTGTTGAGGATTGAATGACAGGTAGACAGGCCAATGGAGGGGACGGAGGGAGAGCGAGCCGGAGCGGCCATTGTGGGGCGGACTCATTAATGAGCGGAAGGGGGGGGCGGGACCATAGGAAGCTTTGTTACGATTGGGAAACTGTCCCGGGGGGGCGGAGTTAGCGAGAGGAGACGCCCAAAAGGTGGAGTCAAGGGGGTGGGTAAGAGGTGGGGCTAAACCAGCGTCTTGTTTGGACACCGGCTTTTCTTTCGGGACCAATCAGTAGGTCCCACTGAGAACCTACCTACCAGCGGGTTTTCCGTGGAAAGATTGACTTAGAGACCTGGCGAAAAAACTTACCTGTTCTCAGCTAATAGGGGCAGTGGTAAATGCAGGATAAAAAAAAGAAGGTGGGGGTGCCTGGCTGGCTCAGTTGGTAGAGCATGCGACTCTTAATCTCAGGTTTTTAAGTTCCATCCCCACCCACCTTCGGTGTAGAGATTACTTAAAAATAAAATATTTTTATATAAAAAAAGGGGAGGTGGGTACTAGTAGAAGAGTATTCGACCACTCTGAGCGGCTTCACTCTGGAACCAGTTGAGGCCTGAGAGCCTAGTGCAGGAAAGTATACAGGGCAGCAGGGCAGCTAAAGCTGGGAGCCTGGCTTCCTGAGCTGAATCTGGTCTTTTCCTTTTTTCCTCCCTCTAGAAGATCCGCTTTCAGTACCCACCGTCAACCCATGAACTCCTTCAGCTTCTGTGCTCTGCCCATGAGGCCCGAGGCCCAACGCCCTCCCTCGTGCTGCTGGATGGCCTGGAGGAGTACCTAGTGGAAGACTGGGGGCCCCAGGAAGCGGCTTACTTGGCTGCCCTGCTTCTAGACACAGCTGCCCACTTCAGCCACCAGATTGGGCCTGGCCAGGGCTGTGGGCTCATTGTGGCCCTCCAGATCCGGGGAGAGGGAGACAGTGGGGATGCCCTGCAGCTGTCGCTGCTCCAGCGGTATTTCCCTGCCCAGTGCTGGCTGCAGGTGGATGCACCAGGCCCCGGACAACGCTGCCTCCGAGCCTGCCTGGATCCAGGTGGGCTGGGCCCTAGAGCAGAGTGGTGGGTGGCTTTCCAACCAGATGGAGAGATGACAATCACGCCATGGCCTGCCCAGGCTGGTAACCCCAGCTCAGACAAAGGTTCAAGTTCTGAAGGCCAGCCTTGAGTTTTGGTGTGTGACAGTCTCTCTGCCTCAGTTTCCCATGGCTGGAATACTTACTTCAGGAACACGTGCAAGTTCAAAGACCTAAAGAATCTAAAGTGCTTTTTCTTTTTTGAAAAATAGCATTATCATGTACCTTTTATGCCCAATCAACATATTGTTTTGTTGTTTTGAACTTTATAAAAAGTTTCATGATAAATGTAATCTTCTGAGACTTCCTTCTTCTCCCACTCAACATTGTTATTAAGATTAAGCCAGGGGCACCGGAGTGGCTCAGTGGGTTAAGTGTCTGACTTCAGCTCAGGTCATGATCTCCAGGTCCTGGCATCAAGCCATGGGTCAGGCTCCCCTGCTGAGTGGGGAGTCTGCTTGTCCCTCTCCCTCTGCCTACAACCCCCCCCCCCCCCCCGCCTGCCTGGCTCCGGCTCGTGCTCTCTCTCTCTCTCAAATAACTAAATAAAATCTTAAAAAAGAAAAGATTAGGCCATATTGTTTAGTTCAGTCCTTTTTCCCTACTGCATATAATTCCATGGGTGACTATACCCCCATTTTATTCATCAGATTGACTTATTTACTGCTTATGAACATTCTTGCACACATATCCTGGTTCATGTCTGTGAGGCCTTTTAGGGTATATACCTCGAAGTGGAATTGGTAGAGTAGGTCTGCATATGTTCATCTTTCGTCGGTTATGTCAAACTTACAAAAAGTGGTTAAACCAGAACTCCCAATGAGCCACCTGATGACACTGGTCACATCAGAGTACTTTCTTAGAACAGGGCCTGATTTAAAACAAAGCCTTATGAAACAGTGTCATCATTATTAGTGGCAGAGGCTAGCTAGAGGCTCATTCAACAACCTTCCTCTCCCGGGGTGTACAGCTAAACTACATTTCCCCCCAGCTGTCTGTGGTTCTAGCTGGGGTCCTGTGACTATTTCTGGCCAATGGGATTTGTGAAGAAGAGATGATTACTACTTCTTAGGCTAACTCCCTAAAATGGCCCACCAAATCTTGTGCTGTTTGTTTTGCTTATTGGTTGGCAAGACGCAGAGGACCCATCTAAAGACCTCAGGGTGGCCCCAGGGGATGGGGAAGCTACAGACCAGAAGGGTCGGGGCTTCTGACTCATCCCAGAGATGACTGCTCACCTAAAGGTTTGCACTGAAATACGAGAGAGAAAGCATATTCATGTGTAAAGCCACTCATATTTAGGGGTTGTTTGTTACGGCACCTAGTATAACATATACTGACCAATTAGGTTTATTATGATTATTATTCAGGTTGCCAGATCCAGAATTTCAGATGGAGCTCAAGGCCTTTTTCTGCTGCCCCTATGGCCTGGGCCCAGGGAAAGATGGGGTTTACAGGATGTTTGTAGAAGTCATGATAGGAAAAAAAATACACACACATTCATGCATACACACACACACAACTCTACATTTTAAAATACTGCAAGGATGGGACTGAGCAGGATGGACTGGGCAGAAAGCCGAGGTTAGCAATGCCCCTAGTCCTGAGGGAAGGCCTCACCAGCCCTGCTCAATAAGTCTTAGGCCTGGACTAGCACTTGAGGTCATGCTGGATCTCCAAACATCTGAGGGCTGGAGTCCTAGGAGCAGGCCACATAGCTGGGAGGTGAAGGCTCAGGGGCTGGGATGAGGCTGTTCTCATAAGGGTTCGAGAAGGGGCCATTCGATGAGTCCCCCTGGGCTCCCTGGGAGCCCCCTGAGCTGTAGTCAGTTGAGATGCCAGAGTCAGACACCATGAGGTACAGGTACTTTATGTGGGGTGGGGTGGGGGGCAGCTCAGGGGGCAGTGCCCTTGGGCGCAAGAGCTGGGAGCTGGGATCCAGGATGGTATACTCAAAGCTGGTAGCCAAGGCCCCCTCTGGCCCAGGCTTCAGGGACAAAGCAGATGAGTAGGAGGATGCTTCTGAGCCTTTATCCATGGCTACTATGTCCAAACCGCCATCAGGCCGTGGGAGATCCTCACTGGGTGGGTTCCGGGGCAGCAACCACTTGTCCAGCACCAGGTAGGTGTCCTGGGTATGTTCACTGCCCACTGGCTCCAGCAGGGGTCCCTCATCCTCTGCCCCTGGCTCCACCGCCTGTGTCGCCCCCCAGCAGCGCTCAGAGAGGACTTCCAGGGGGGCGGGTGGGTCCTCTGCAAAGGGAGTGCAGGGGCTCCACCAAAGACAGCCCTCATTCTGGTAGAGCCACAGCTGGGGAAACAGCACCAGCCTGCTCAGAGACCTGGGGTTCAGCCGTAGGAGCAGGGAAGCCCCAGGCCCTGAGGAGACAACCATGCCACCTACCTGGAAGTTACCCTTGTGGGTGGTGAAGAGGCCCTCAAACTCACTCTCAGGGCTTGGGATGCCAGGCCAGATCTTCTGCTTCAGAGTCCTGGTGAAGCCAAAAGAACCAAGAACATGGGTATGTGTCACTGAATACCCACCACTACCCTGTTAGGAGCAGTCACAAGGGCACAGATAGTCCTGGCCCCTTGTGACCACAGTGGAGGCAGAAGAATGCATAGGGGCAGAGGAACAGAGGCTCTGGCTTGCACCTGCAAAGGTCTATAGGTGGTTGACTGGAACAGGGTTTTGAAGGATGCATAGGGGTTCAGCATGCACTGTTGTTACTTCCCTTCTCACTCCTTTCCATAATATTCCCCCAATGTACTCAGAATAAAATTCAAACTCCTCCCCACAGCCCTGCAGACAGCCTGGCATGTTCTGACCCCCTGTCACCTCCCTCACCTCATCATTTAACCACTCTCTCCTAACACATTCTGCTCTAGCCAGAGAGCCCTTCTTGGCAGCTGCTTCAATGTTCCAAGCTCATTCCCACCTCAGGGCTTTTGCACTTGCTGTTTCTTTTCAATTTTCATGTGACTGCCTTCTTCCAACCTTCAGGTTTCCATTCTGATGTCACCTCCCAGAGGTCTTTCCTGATCATCCTGTCATGTCCCCAGGCCCCACTTGTTTCTGTGATATCACAATGCATAATCAAATATCTGTTGGTTCCCTTGTTATTTGACTCAACTATGAGATCCACAAGGTGAGGGACATGTTTGTTTTCCACTTTCTCCCCAGTGCTTAGCACACAGTTGGCACTCCATACGTATTTTTCAACCAAGTAAATAAACAAGGCCTTGAAAGACACCTAGGAGACTGCTTGGCAGACAAGGCAGGAAGGGCATTCCGGGCAGACAGAATAGCATGTGCCTAGGCTTGAGGGTGTGAAACCACATGTTATGTGCTGGGAATTCCAAAAACCTCAGGATGGCTGGTCCTACCGTAAAGAATCTAAGGAGCTTCACCACAGAGGCAGGAGGCACTCAGGGTGTTAAATCTTTCCATTAAGCCCATCCAGGGATTTTACAAAAGTGGATAAAATTGGGAAAAGGAACGAGCAAAGGAATTCAAGAAGGAGCAGCCACTGAGGTTGAAGGAAAACCAGGTTAATGTTCCCAGGGAATTTTAACTAAGGGTCTGGGTCTGGTC